GTTGTTGTTGTTGTCGAGTTGATTGAGGTGGAGTAGTAAAACGAACTGTAGCTGGTGTTGAAGTTTCACGTGTTGTCGATTTTTGTGATCGAACACTTTCAATAATGATATCATTTCGATTAGCTTCATCTAAATAGGATAAAATTGAATTAACTCGATTTGGAGCTTGTGGTGGTGGTTCATCGACAACAGGCAAAATTGATGTTGGATCAATTAAATAGACTAAATTAAACATAAAATTCATTAATTAAATTTTCAAAAATTTGAATTTCAAAATCCAATCGAAAATTTTTTTTTTTGACATAATTTGAAAAATATTTACGATACAATCACTTCAATGTTTTTTCTTTATTAAGTCATATAGTTCCAGATCAAAGATCGTTTTCAGTCGTTCTTCTAATGTCATACCTGAATCATTTTCAAGTGTCGGTTGAATAGGAAATCGTTCGACTTCTTGTAATTTTCTTAATGTATCATAAACATCAGTTAATGTTACTTTTGATGTTGAAGAAAATGTTGTTGTTGTTGAACTTGGCGATGTAATTCTCTTTAAAAGAAATCAAATGAATTAAAACAAGATAAATAATTATATCAATACTTCATCAACATATGTTGATGGAGGAAGTGGTGTTGAATTAGGATTTGTTCGATGTTTAATTGATGATGGTCGATAATTAGGTGTTGATGGACGACGTTCATCGAGTTTATTTGAATTATCATATTGTTGTTTTTTTCGTTGTTGTGCTTCCTAATTAATAAAATAATATTATTTTGATATTATAAAAACAAAATAAATATATTATTACTTTAAGTACTGTTAATCGTGTTTGACGTTGTTTATCTTCTCGAGTTTTTTTCTGTTCAAGTAATGTTAATTTTTCTAATTCTTTTGTACGTTCTATTGATGCTTGATATTCAATTTTTTTTTGTTCAAGTACTCTATTATAATAATAAATATTCATAAGACAACAAAAAAAAAAAATCATTTTTGATAATTCAAAAACCTTTTTAATGCAGCTTCAGCCATTTTACGTCTCATTTGAATTTTTCGATACCAACGTTGAATTGTAATTGAAGCCATTTTAGCTTTTAAATCAATTTCAATTGGTGTTGCTTGTGAAATACCAGCTATTTGTGATGCTGGCATATGTTGTCCACGTCTATTATGACTTGATTGTAGAAGATTAGAACCTCCTATTGTTCCACCACTAAGACTATCACGTGACATCCCTATTGGACCAACACCACGATTTTGTTGTTGTGGAATAAATGAAGTATTTAAATTAAGTTCATCAATCCAACGACGTGTATCATCCCATTCTTTATCATCAGATTTTTGTTGTAATGAAT